AGAAGATGATATAGACTGAGGTGTAGGAAGAAGATCTGGTGGGGCAGCAGACCTAGGAGCAGACTGAGGGGCGGCAGGTCGAGCTGCAGACTGAGTAACAGCAGCAGCAGACCGGGAAGCAACAGGGGAAGGATGCCAGAAAAAGGTTTGTAAGACAGATAAAGAAGGAGGGGAAGTAGGCTGAGTGGAAGAAGCAGCAAAGGGAAAATGATGTTCCTGAAATCTTACCTGTTTGAGGATTGAGACATCTGTTGATAGCCAAGAAAAATGCAAGGAGTGGATTTGGGAGCTAATTTATGAGGAGAGTATGGTTTTAACGAAGGAAAACACAAGCATCCAAAGACTTTAAGATGGGTATAGTCAGGTTTGATTTTAAAAAGAAGTTCAAAAGGAGAGCAGTGAGAGAGAGAGAAGCACTGGGAAGTCGGTTAATGAGGTATATAGCAGTTGCTATAGCATCAAACCAGTAGGTAAGAGGTAAAGAAGAGTGATGAATAAGAGAGATAGCTGTCTTGGTAATGTGCAAATGCTTCCTTTCTGCAACTCCATTTTGAGGAGTATGAGGACAAGAGTGTTGATGAAGGATGCCATGGAGATTCATAAAATTAAGCATGGAATTGTTGACAAATTCACCTCCACCATCAGTTGGAAAAATTTGAAGGGGAAAGCCAAATTGTTTTTCAACAAAGGCTTTAAAAATCATAAACTTGGAAAACACCTCACTTTTATTAAAAGGAGGATAAATCCATGTGAATCTACTAAAATCATCAACAAACAACACATAAAAACTCAAGGGATCAAGGACAATGGATTATTAACAGTGGAGTTTGAAAGTTTAAATGGAAGCCTATGACATTTGGAAACTGAGCAATCAATAAAACTCAAGGGATCTTTATGTAAACTAATAGACAAATGAGACTTTAGTGTTTGAAGCTTCGAAAAAGATGGATTTATGCCAAAGTTCAGCAGATGGTGATGAACCAGTAGAAAATGCAGCAGTGGTGGATGGAGTCAAGGGCAAAGCATGAGGTGAAGAAGTAAAATGATATAAACCATTGGCATGATATCCTTTGTGAAGAATAGCTTTAGAAGCTTTGTCCTGAATGGCAAATGAAGAGTGGTAAAAAATAATAGAACAATTGTTGTCTTTGGCTAATTGCTGTACAGAAAGAAGATTAGATGAAATAGTAGGAACATGAAGACCTTTATTAAATTTGAAAGAATGATGTGGAGTAGGCAAAATACCTTTCCCAGTGTGGTGAATGGGGAGAGATTCACCATTGCCAATAGTAACTTGGTCAGGACCAGAGTAAGGTTGATAGGAGTTCAGATGATGAAGATCATTGGTGACATGATCAGAGGCAGCGGAATCCAGAAACCAAGGAGGATGAAATAGTAGGAACATGAAGAACTTTATTAAATTTGAAAGAATGATGTAGAGTAGGCAAAATACCTTTCCCAGTGTGGTGAATGGGGAGAGATTCACCATTGCCAATAGTAACTTGGTCAGGACCAGAGTAAGGTTGATAGGAGTTCAGATGATGAAGATCATTGGTGACATGATCAGAGGCAGCGGAATCCAGAAACCAAGGAGTAGAGTTCGGAGATGCATAATCATCAGTCATAGAGGCAACATAAACTTTGGAATGAGAATGAGGAGGAGGCTGAGAGGATGACTGAGGCTGAAATTCAAAATCCAGTCGATGCCAACAGTCGAAGGCAGAGTGGTTAGGTTTTCCACAGATTTGGCAAACAGAATCAAAATGAGATCTGCCTGTCCTGCCATGATTTGGAGATCTACCTCTGAAATGTGAAGATCTGCCAGAACCAGATCGGTATGAACCTCGATAAGTACCTCTTGATTCATGTCGAGAAGAACCTCGATTATTGTGATAAGAATTGAAACCTTTGGATGATGGAGATTCCTTCATTGCTGCATATGCAACAGTAAGAGCAGAGGACCGCTTGATTTTTCCTTCAATATGAATTTCTTCCGAACAAAGTGAGGACAAAAGATCATCCATGGATATTTTCTCGGATCTTGCTCAAATTGCAGTTTTGAAGGAATCATATTCCGCAGGTAATCCATTCAAAGTGATAAGAACAATGTCTTCATCTTCAATGAACGAGGAAGCAATGCTAAGTTGATCAACAAGAGATAATGTTGCTGAGATATACCTCCATTGAGTTAGAATTCTTTGAGATGGAGGTTAACTTGTTCTTAAATTGATGGATATGTGATCTTGATAAAGTTGTAAATCGTTTGTCCAATGCAAGCCAAATTTCTGAACTAGTTCACTGGGGTGCAGGGTAACATCTCGGCTAATGTGTTCAAGGCAATGACGGAGGTCAACAAGGGGTTCCAAGATACTAATGCCAGACTAAGGATGACCTCGGCATAGGAACAACGTCGGCTAAACATAACTCAGACAAGCACATAACACTTAGACAAATCACAAAGGTGCCAAATCAAGACATGGATCACATTAACTCAACGAAACAATCGCAACACACACATGCAAGCTAAACAAGTCACAATCATACAAATGCTCATGAACATGATCAAGATGAAAAATGTGGGTTCTTACACCGAAGATGAAGATAGCAGAGGAGAGAGTGGCTGTGATGCAACTTATCAAAGGTGCATCAATCAGTCTCCATTGAAGTGCTTTGGGATTGTTCACTTCCAAACCAGAGGAATTTCGGATACAATCTGCTGGACATGAATAATATCCATCAACGAATTTTAGCAAATCGGTGGCACAAAGAATGTTCTTCATTTGACTGCTCCAGATGATGTAGTTTGTATTTTCCAGTTTTACAGTCACAAGAGAACTCAGATTAGAAATCAGCTTGTTGAGATTCGAAGGGATTGCAGAAGAAGATGATGGAATTGCCATCGGAGATGCCATTGAAGATATGCTTATCGGAGCTTCACAACTCTAATACCATGAAGATATATTGCGAAAGTATATTCTTGATTAATTCCATTGAGTGCATTTACAACTGTACATATACATATCAGAAGCCATGCGTAACTACCTAACTAACTAACTCTAACTCTGTTATGGTTTATGATCCTATGTAGCATAGTATACCATAGTCTAGGCTATGACTCTATTCTTGTGATTATCTGGAGTGCCTTCTCTATCAATGTTCACCTATCTATGTCTGTTTGTGGTTGCCACTAATCGTCGGTGACTTTTCCAGCGCTGGCAATTTTTTGGCGACTTTTAGGCACCATTGGTAGCGGTGGCGATGGGGAACAATTGATATTAGCGTATGAGAATAGAGAAGGAAGGTAGAGATAAAAAATTAAAAATTAAAAAATTAAAACAATAATTTATACTTCTCACCAATATATTTAGTGAACCATATCTTTAAAATCAAAACAAAGCATTGTCTTTTGTTTTTTACTCACTACCAAACATATAATGATCAAATTCAAATATTTAAAATAAAATTAATTATAATAATATAATAAATATCACATTAATACATAAAAAATAATTTATGACAGTTATTAATTTATGCATTTGGATCCTCCATTTGTAGAATGTGTGCCCAAAAGCTACCACGCTACAAGAGAAGCTCACCAATTTATTATGATCACGACGTCTTTTTGACTCTTTGAATGAAATTGCCCAAACCACGTTCACAATCTCAACCTTGTAGCCAGGTATAATATTCTTGTGATAAATCTCTACATGTTTGAAATTATCATTTGGCTATCCCTACTATAAAAAGACTTGAGATTATTAAATTTACAGTTTTTATAGATGGGTAATTTATACTTGTAAAATAAATGGTATTTAGATTTTTGAGATGCCTTATAAATGGAAAAGAAGAATGTTAAATTTCCTTTTAACAGATGATATAAGAATACTTGTGTATTACTGTAGCTGTTTCTAATAATCTTATTACAATCTTCAATCTTTATATTAACAGTATTGCTATTCAAAATCAAAAATTAAACTTAATTTTCAAGTCTAGTTATGTGGCAATTAATTAGGATATTAAAGGCAACACTCTCTTTCATACATTTTCTAATCATCAACCAATTATATAACTTACACATCATTAGGTCTAAAAAATGGGTTTAGAAAGTGAGTTTGTATATCATTTTTTTAAAGTACAATTTGTTAAAATTCATTTACTAAAACTAAGATTTAGATTCACCATCCAAAACAAAACAAAACAAAAACAAATAAAAACAAAGATTTAGATTTATAATGACAAATTTGCAATACATCATTCAATGAAATTTATGATGTTATTTGTAATAGAAAAGGAGAATCAAGTTTTTCATGAACCCTTCCTAACATTTTAATCTCTTCCTTCTCCCCTCTTTTACAGCTTCCATTATAAACCACCACCTCCTTCCCCGCCAACCACCACCACCACCACCACCACCAAATCTCAAATCACCATCAAATCTAGAATCACCGCCACAAACTCATCTCCGTCACCAACATCAAATTTGAACCATTTTGGTGATTCATATGTAATTATTCAATAGAAAATAGCATCCCATCAACATTGCTCTTTCAAATCAATAGAAAAGAAGCCAACAATTTTTGGTGCTACAAGGTAGGCATATATTCGAGAAAAATAAAAATAGAAGCAACACAAAATAAAATTAATAAGATGACAATAAAGAGAGAAGCCACACCATATGTGTGTGGTTCGGCTACTACCTTACACACATGGCACACAAAAGCCCCAAGGGTACATTTGTCCTTTTATTGATTTTCAATCTTCAATATTTATTCTTACAATAAAAATCCCTATATGAAAAGTATATTTCTGTAGGTAATAGAGACAATTGGGTTTTACCTAACATCTAACATATCCTTACTAAACAAAATAGCTTTGCACTGTCTTTAAGGCTCGAGTTTTGCCAAGTGCACAAAATTAGTGCACATAAAAATATGTAGAATAGAAAGGGATCAATTCTGTGCATTTTCATGGGCAACAATTCTGTGCACATAGGTGAGGCTCTACATTCGGGTGGATAACAATTGAGAAACAATGTGCATGGTTGGCCTAGATTGTGGATTGTCATGCAAACATGCAATTGCCAATTTTACACTACACATCACTACCTCCTCAACTTCAGGGGAGGGAGGTGAAAGGCGTTGGTCCAACACATCCTTTAACTCTATTTTCTCGATAGCAGAGGTCGACAGAGAGGTGATGAAGTCTCCCGGATGCTTTCCTTTGATCACCTCCAATGCCAACACACCAAAGCAATAAACGTCACACTTTTCAGTTACCTTCATTGTGCAAGCAAGCTCTCTGCACACAAACGCACACACACACAAAAAAAAAAAAAAACCCCATCAAGCACTTGTTTTCTTACATTTTAGATTCTACATCAATTTACGAGTGCATAAAATTGTGTTTACCTGGTGCAACATATCCGTATGTGCCTGCAAGTGCAATCCAGTTAGAGGAATCTAGCTTCAAAAGCTTGGCGGCGCCAAAGTCTGAAATACGAGGCTTGTACTCCTCATCAATCAAAACATTGCTGTTAGAAATGTCTCGGTGAACAATTGGCGGTGTGCAATCATGGTGCATGTATGACAAAGCGCTTGCAGTACCCTTAATAATTTTGACCCGTATACGCCAATCCAACTTTTTAGCTTCTTCATCTCTGCTGAAAATTGTAGCCAAGCTACCCCTTTCGAGGAACTCATAAACTAGAAAAGAGTGCCGAGCATACGAACAGAACCCGAAAAGCTTCACTGTGTTTCGATGCCTAATTTCTGTCAATGCCCTTACCTCATTTAAGAAACCTTTCCTATCAGCCTTATCGGAAAATGGATGAAGTTTCTTCACAGCTACTATATTAGCCGATGGTAGCTTCGCCTTGTAGACAGCTCCATATCCTCCCTTTCCAATGCAATATGTGGCATCGAAATCCTTGGTAGCTTTGACAATGTCATTGTACATTGCTCTTCCATCAAATATTGATATTGATAACAGATCTTCATTCGGGGGTTGGGTGTCACCCTCTTCAACTTGTGACTTTCTCTTTCTTGGATCGAAGAGAATGAGAAGTCCGGTGAATGCACCTAGAAGTAAAAGTGCTCCGCCAAGAGGGAGCACGATTATAAGAACAAGTGTCCTCTTTGCTAGAGTGTGTTTGGGCAATGCAGAAGGAATTTTGCAAGGCTACAGGCCTTTGACATTTCCACATAGACCTTTGTTCCCTTGCAGTGCTTCTATTGATGCATTCATGAAGGCACTGCTCATGGGAATTGGACCTTGTAACTGATTATATGATATATCAATAAATGCCAAGCCATGCATATTTTCAAAACCCTTTGGAATGAGACGGTAGAGATTATTGTGGGGGAGGTTTAAATTCTCCAAACTCTGCAAATTTGTGATTTCCAATGGTATTTCCCCTGTGAGATTATTACTACTTAGATCCATCTCAGTCAGTTGAAATAACTTACCAATCCGTATTGGAATTTTCTGGCTGAACATGTTGTTGATCAAATTCAAGTAAAACAGCTTAAGATAGTTGCCCAGAATATCCGGTATTGACCCATTGAATCTATTTGTGGACAAATTAAGATATGAAAGCCCAGTTAGTGATTCTAGTTCTTGAGGTATACTACTCGAAAGCTAGTTATCAAATAAAACCAACTTCTCTAGAGAAGTCAACTTCCCGAATTCCTTCAGAATTTTCCCAACTAAACGATTTGAAGACAGATCAAGTTGATGTAGTTGTATTGAATTTCCAAGCCCCGGTGGAATGCTACCGGTGATGTTGTTCCTTGCCAAGTTTAGGAGTGTCAAATTTGGAAACATTCCCCAAATTTCTGATAATTCACCAGAAAAATTGTTCTAACTCAAATCCATGTAGACCAGGTTTGGATAAGCACCCAAATCTTCTGATATATTTCCAATGAATTGGTTTTCATCAAAGCGAGCTCTGGCTAAGCTTGAACAGTTTTTCAAACTTTGGGGAATTGTGCCTATGAGATGGTTGTGGTTCACAGTGAAGTTTGTAAGTTTACCACCTTGGCAAAGCTCTGGGAGATTACCAGAAAACTGGTTGTTATCCATTTCTAGTATAAGCAAGTTTTTCAAATTGCCTAATTCATGTGGAATGGGACCGGAAAGTTGGTTGGAACGAAGGAAAAGAGTTTCTAACATAGACAACTTGCCTAATGAAGCAGGAATAGGACCATTGAGTTGATTTTCGCTCAATTCCAGATCATTGAGGAACTTCAAATTTCCTAGTTCTTTAGGAATTGAACCAGAGAGTTGATTATTCCAAAGATGTAGGAGTGTTACGGAGCTCAAATCACCAAAAGATGTTGGAATTGAGCCATTAAGATTGTTGGTTTCAAAGCTTAGGTCCTGGAGTGATTTCAACTTTCCTATCTCTTGTGGAATGGAACCGGATAGGTAATTGTTGAACAGGTGCAACGCAGTTAGCTTAGTCAAGTTTCCAAGAGTGGAAGGGATGAGGCCTGTGAAATTGTTGCTATCCATGTAAAGCTCGACAAGATTGACAAGGTTTCCCATTGCGGGAGGGATGGGACCAGAAAGATCATTATCATAGAGATATAGATGAACCAAGTTTCTCAAATTTCCTAAAGAAGCGGGAATGGGTCCAGAAAGACTGTTGGTGTACAAAGCAAGCTCAGTAAGAGACTTTAACTGGCCTATCTCTTGAGGAATTGAGCCATTCAATTGATTTTCGACTAGGTGGAGAGTGTCAAGATTTGTTAACAGGCCGATTTCTGGTGGGATGTTTCCTGAGAACTGGTTGATGGACAAATCAAGATAGATGAGTTTGGAGAGGGAGCCAATTAGAGGTGGGATGACACCAAAGAGGTTATTCATGCTAAGATCGATATATGCAAGATTAGGAAATGATGAAAACGTAAAGTTGTCGAGCGTACCATTTAGACTTGAATTTGTGAGGTTCAACCTATTGACGCTTCCATCGAAGTTGCAAGAAACTCCAAACCAGCTGCATGGGCCGGCACTTGTTGAGATGTTATCATGAGGTGGAAGGACCCATGAAGTTAGCAGGGAATGGTTTGTGCTTTGCAGGGTGGCTTTCCATGTGATGAGAGCATTAGCTTCTTTAACAGAAGTAGAAGTAACATTAATGGTTGAAGAAAAGAGTGTCACAAACAGGACTAAGGAAACAAGGCAGAGTTGTTTCTCTAACAGTCCCATTGTTTTTCCCTTTGATGAACTAATGGGTAATCAAGGCTCTAATTTATATACACATTTTTCCACTGGTCTATTGTCGTAGTAGACTTTGAAAATGGAAGTCTTTTTGTTCAGATGTACAATAGAATAAGTTTTAAAAAGAGCATATGTAATAATAAGAAGCATTTTGGCATTGTGGCTTCAGTACATGCATAGCTTACACATGGTTCTTGGTTCAGTTCTTCTCAATAGCAATTTGAATTTTTTTGAAAGCAGTTTTTGTGTAGAATGTTAAGAGTTTCCATTTCTATCAGTCATAAAATTAAAACAGAAAAACCAGATAATAACAGTTTGATTCTCTAAACAAGCAGGTTTTGGGTTATTTCTTAGCGCAAAAGGCTGTTCTAGAGTTAGGAGGCCAGTCCTTTGTTTTATGTTTCTTTTTCTTATTCGTCTTCTTTATCTGTTTTTTTTTTTTTCATTAAGCTGTTTTGGGAAGTCTATTGCTCCTATTTACTGAAGACAGTTTTCCTCACATGTCCGGATCACTATACAACAAGGGTAAACCCGGGATCGCTATAATTGCTCCTATTTACTGAAGACAAAGTTTTCCTTCTCTTCCATTCCATCACTAGCTTTGGGGAAGTGCTCTACAAATTGTTGCTTTTAATTGCAATATTCTACTTGACTGGACTTAACTCCACTAGATTCTGATGCTTTCTGGGAATAAATGCTAATGGTTAAAGTAGCTAGTACAAGACATGAATGTTCTATTGCAAATAGGGCATTTTGTATTTTGTTATATGTGAACTTTGGTTGAAGTGTTTTTCTTCGTTGTGCTAGGGATATTTGTCGGATTAAAGGTTTGTACAAGCCCGTACCCAAGTGCAGATCGATTTGCTCTAGTCTGGCTCGAGTCTGACCTTTATTAATTCCCTTATCCAAGCCTGAACATTGAGTTTATTTCAAAATTTTAACTCTAGCTCAGGTTGCTTGAACTTAACACAAAATAATTTATTGTGTTGTGTATTGAGTTGTCTTTAACAAATTCATTGCACTTCTTAAAAATAAGAAAGGTGACAAAAAATTCTCAAAAACTACAAACATGGAACATATAAGAAAAATTGTTTGAGTTGTGCATGAATAAACTTGAACAACTCTCAACATAATTTGAGTTAAGTTAGACAACCTATCAATTTGATCCAACCTGCCCGAATTGCACACTAAAAATCTGGCGTATAAGCTTGGGCAACGGTCTTTGTCTCTGGCGTATAAACTTGGGCAACGGTCTTTGTTTATCTTTGTTTATCTCAGAGTTCCAGGTACCAAGCTGGGAATCAATCAAATCACTAACCTTTGCATTGTCCGGGAGAGTGGAAGGTGGCAAAATAAAGTATGAGGCCGTGGAACCCATTTATCGGACTTAACCGAAATGCTCTCGCTGTTTCCAACTCGCCATCTCATCCCAGCATTAAGCAAATGTCGAGCGCCCGCTATACTCCTCCAGGTGAAGGATGGGCTGTTTCCAAGCAACACATCAAGAAACGAAGTGTGAGGAAAATACTTGGCTTTTAACACCCTTGCAATCAACGAGTGAGGCCGTTGCACAATTCGCCAACATTGTTTGGCCAATATAGCGGTATTAAATTCATTAAGGCAGCGAAACCCTATTCCCCCACTCAATTTAGATTTGCACAAATGCTTCCAGTTAGTCCAGTGAATTTTACGGGCTTCCTCCTTTTGTCCCCACCAATAATTGCACACCATTGAGTCAATTTCATGGCACAAACTAGCAGGTAGTCAAAAACAGGACATAATGTAAGTAGGGAGTGCTTGAGCAACAGACTTAATAAGGACCTCGCGACCCACAACGGATAGTAATTTCTCCTTCCACCCATTCAAACGATGCCATACTCGCTCTTTGACAAACCCCAAAACGGATCGTTTAGAGTGGCCCACACAATACGGTAACCCCAAGTACTTCCCGTACGTCGCCATAGAACCCACCCCAAGAATTGATGTGACCTGCTGGGTAACCAAGTCCGTATTTTTGCTGAAACAAACAGTAGATTTTTGGAAATTAATTTTCTGCCCCGATGCTTGCTCATATATTTGAAGGACATCTCGCAACACCCCCGCTTCATCTTCAGTGGCAGCCGCAAACAGAAGACTATCATCAGCAAAAAACAAATGCGATAATCGTGGGCTACTGCGACAAAGAGAAATCCCCGACAACTGGTTATTTGCCATAGCATGTGTGAGAAGCGCCGACATCCCTTCCGCACAAATAGTGAACAAGTATGGCGAAAGGGGATCCCCTGTCAGAGCCCCCGTGTTGGACGAAACAATCTTGAAGGCTTTCCATTAAGAAGAACCAAAAATGATACCGTCGACACACAAGTTATGAGGAGTTGCACAAAACGCTGCGAAAAACCCACCCGGTGCATCACTTGATGAATAAATGGCCATTCCACTCTGTCATAAGCTTTACTCATATCTAGTTTCAGTGCAAGAAATCCTTCTTTTCCAGCCCGCTTATTCTTAAGAAAATGAAAAACTTCGAAAGCCAGTAGCGCATTATCTGTGATCAATCGGCCTGGTATAAAAGCACTCTGAGTGTCAGAAATTACTGATGGCAAAACCTCTTTAAGGCGATTGGCCAACACCTTGGCAATAATCTTGTAGACAACATTACACAGACTGATTGGCTGAAATTCTGACATATGCTGGGGCTTTTTAACTTTAGGGATAAGCACAATAAAGGTATGATTAAACTGTGAAATATCATCTACCCCATTCAAAACCCCAAGCACAGCATTACTCAAACTAGGACCCACCACGTGCCAAAATTTTTGAAAGAATAAAGCAGGCTTACCATCAGGCCCAGGAGCCTTCATTGGATGCATTTGGAGAAGCGCATAGTGTACTTCAAGTGCAGAGAAAAGGCGACTTAGAGTAGCAGCACTACGAACTACGAACTGAAACTCTCCTTTGAACCAATTGTAACACCGGGTCCATTGTCAACCCCACGCCTGTGTAGACACCCCATTTTTGACCGTCCTCAAGACTTGGACGTCACCATTGGAACACTTGGTGATTACCCTTATTTGTGTTCGTCTTGAGTTCCCAGAGGTCTCGATTGCGCGCCTTGCCTCAGGATCTCTCGACTCAACCGTGTTGTGTCTGGTTTTGCACCAAACACTTGTGTTTTTCCTTGGAGGGGCAGGGAATGCCTTGTGAGGCATCCCCACACATCACCGGCCATGGCTTGAGGCCACCGGCCAGTGATTTTATGCCATCGGCAATGTATATTGCCGGTCGGCACTCTTTGTTGCCGGTCGGCCATTTATTTTGCCAAAATGGCAATTTTGAATGGCAAATCATTGTTCATCTACTTTTAGTAGATATTTTGTGCCAGCTATGATAGCTGGCACCCACTCTGCTCCCCTCCATAGACGTGTATGGAGGGATTTCCCTCTTGAATGGCTTGTTTTGGAAGCCTTACAAGAGGGAGTTGCCTATAAGAAGAGGGCTCCTCTCTTGGCATTAGGGTTACAAAAAATTTCGGAGGGAGTCTTGGATTAGGGTTAGGGTTGATTCATATTCCCTATCTCTATATCTCCCTCTTGTGTGTGTCTAGTGTGTGTTTGTCCATACTATTGCACACAAACACATAGTGTTACACATTCTCTTGGTTGTTGAGGGACCAGAGGGTTGTTCTTGGTGTTCTTGACTTGATTTGAGCTTAAGGAGGCAACAAGATCATCATTTGTGAAGAGGGTCTACAAGGGTAAGACTTTTGTCCCTTTTTAGCCCATTCTTGCATAGCTTTTTAGCCCATCTTGAAACTGTTTTTGAGCTTTGTGTATAACATAAAAAATTTCTGTTTTTAGGCCCTCTAAATAGTTGTTTGAGGTTGCTTCAAGCTTTGGGGTTGTTTGACCCCTCTTAAGCCTTGTAAGGCTCCATTTTGTGCCATTTTGAGTGAGCTCCGAGACCTTGGTGTTTGGGCCTCCTCACCACTGAAATATTGAGGGATTTCAGAGGTGAAGATGGTGCCTTGAGGTCCCAAGAAGGAGAGGGCCACCCCCTCTCCTTGTTGTCCTTGAAAATGACCATTTTTGCTTCTTAAGGGAGCACCTAGCTTAGGCTCTTGTTGACCATGCCTTAGCTGTTATTTATGCTTATTTTTCCATGAAATAGCATTGTTTTGAGTTGGTTTTGGTACACCATGCTTGCTTAGCATACATGCCTTGTAATGCCATGATTTGCCTCAACATATGCCTAGCATTTAGACTACCATGCTCATGTATTTTGGCCTAGCTTTGTGAGGCTTTTATGCTTGTTTTAGTATGCTAAGGGACTGTTTTTAGTCATTTGAGTCACCCATGCTTTGCTTTGTATAGCTACCATGCAAACACTCTTGTATACCTTGAGCATTGACCCCTCTAGCATGCTATCCTTGCATCATTTCAGTGGTTTAGAACCACTTGTCATGTTATTTCAGTCCTTGTGGCATGCCTATGTGCTTGCATTTAATCCTCCTTCAATGTGTTTAAAGGTTGTTACCTTATGCCCCTTGTTTAGAACTCGGAGTATGCTTGCACTTTTAAACCACTTAGATGCCATCTAAGTGCACCCTTGGCTTTGTTTAAGTCTGCATTTGACTTGTTTTAAGTCCCCTTAGCCTTGTGAGGTTTGGTGGACTTGACCTTGGTTTAAGCCTCCTTGGCTTGTCTTGAGCACTTAGGCCATTGTGGCATGTTTTGCTTGTCTTGTTTAAATTGATTTGGCATCATCTTATAACATGATTTTAGAGTTTAATGCATGTTATATGTCCATGTTTGCATCCTCTTGAGTGCGCTTGAGAATTGCTCTTCATTGCTTGAAGTGTTGGAGATCATTTGCATGAATGTTTGTAGGCCTATTAGTCCTTCATTTTTGAGCACCTTGGCCACTGTTTTAGGCCTAGTAAGGGCTGCATAAACCGTGCTTAAGGCCATCCTTTGCTTGTTTGCATGCTTACCTTGCATATTTGCTTGCATACTTGTATAAATGCCTTGTATGCCCATGTTGCATGCTAGTCCACATGCCTAGGTTGCACTCCATCTAGCATGCATGCCTTGCTCCTTGATTTAGTGATGGGAGTTGGGCCTTTGTTTGTTGGTTTGCATTGCATTTGAAATCAACATGCATAAATTGGTCTCTTGGGCCATCATGCGTGGAAATGCACAATTGGTGGTCCGAGAACCAAGGACCATGTCTCTTTGAGTCATAAACATGATAAGGAATATGGTTGGTGCATACATTGCTTGAATTGCATTGCCATGCAAAGCTCTGTCCTCTGCTGCTGTCAAACAGATTCTGTAGGAACTTTTTGCCGATCAACTGCACAGAGTGCCGACCGGCAATCCATCGGTGGCCGATAGCTTCATTTGTGGCCGATGACCACCAAATCACAGCCGATGATAATTCCCTCCAGCCGGTAGCATTCCCCACCATCTAGTGAGCACATCCTTAGACTTTGGCAGTCTTCAGGGAGGCAGAGCAGGGAAAACAGAGGCAGCCTACGCATGGCAGTGGACTTCCGAGCAAGACCTAAGCATGCGTGCATTGAGCCCTCTTCCCGAGGCCCTTTTTTTTGCTTTTCTAAGCTTAGTTAATTTGTTAATTAATTAGGTAATTTGTAATAATTAATTAGCTTGCGAGTTAGTTAATTTGTACTATTCTTTCGGTCCCTCCGAGCGAGGGCGAATTTGTAATAAGTGTGGGTGAGTGTGTGCATGTCTTCCAACCCCCACTTCTTTCTCCCTTTTACTTACCTGCTTTGATGGTTAGTAATATGTCATGTTTAATTTAGCATATTTTATGCTATGCATGCGTGCATCATTCATCAGTATTGCATGCACCGGGCTCGACGCATCATGCTAACTGCATTAGTAATTCAAATCTAACTTGAATACATACTACTTGTGCATTTTCACATGCCATTCATAGACTAGCCGAGCCTACTCTAGTGACATTCCGTATGCGTTGCATTAGACATTTAAACATGGACTTGGATTATGCATTGATTGCTAACGAGTTCCTTGTTTTGGCACGAAGTACGATGTAAGTATTTATGCTTTGGCATACCGCATGCGTGTGAGTGTTGCCATAATAGCATGATTACCATGAGGCTAGCTGTTTATGTGATATAACTGCTTGAATGCCTGTGGATGGAGGTCGAATTGCTTAAATTGGGATAACGCATTAAAACTGTGAATTTTAAGCCCACTAGATAGTGGCAAAACCATCTTTTCTAAAAGCCCACTCGAGAGTGGCAAAACCTGCATTTTAGCCTACTTGCGAGTAGCAAACCATTTTCAAAACAAGCATGAAATGTTTTGTTCCAATTTAGGCGATTTGGTCTATACTTGTTTGCTGTGCGCATAACATAGTAATTCTAGGCTAATAACCGGAATAAGAACACATAACGTTTTCAAAAACGGATATCACGGTTAGTAGAGGCCGATCTTCGGATCGGGCGAGAGGGGGTGCTCATAGCTGACCTTCCCCAATCGCACCCAAGCTCCCGAGTTCTAAATTCCCCCATAAAAATATTTAGGTGGCGACTCTATATCTGGCAAAGCAGTCCATGTTTGGCACTTCTTTTTAAAAATCTGTTTCTCAAAACGATTTGCCGGATTTGGACTCTTTGGTTCAGATTAAGAACCGTGACACAAATCGAGTCTGAACTGTAGCGAGGGCCTTACGCGGGCGCGTCTACAGACTGCTGAAAATAACTCTTTAAAATAAGTCACGAAATTGTCCTCCATCACACTGTGCTCCGCTTGCCAGATCCCATAAGAATCGACTATGCTGTCAATCTTCTTCTTTTTATGTCTTTGGGTGGCCTTAGAATGGAAGAAAGAAGGATTACGGTCACCATCCTTTAACCAATTAGCTCGAGCACGCTGTCCCCAAAAAATAGATTCTCATTCTAAAAGCTCATCAATTTCACACCGCAACGTACGCTTTTCTTCTGCTTCAGCCAAAGAAATGCCACACCTTGTAAGCAACCGGTGGAGGTGGTTGGTTTTTTCCTTTAACTACTTCTTTACACACCCAAACACATTTCGGTCCCAACGTCGCAACTGTTAGGTTTTATTTCTTGGCAATCCCGTTTGACAAAACTCCTTTGAGTTGTAATTTTATTCGCATTTTTATTTCAGTAAGGCTATGAGTTGTTAGATGCGAATCCAACCCGAATCAAGCCTTTCAGTGAAGTTTGT